GACTTCTCAGTGATGGCTGAAAAATCTCTTATGAAGATGGCCTAAGGCCTGACAGATCTGGGAAGAGCTTAAGAATGAGGGTAATAGGCCAACTGCTTCTCCAACTTTGCCACTCATGTCCATCTGTCTTAGTACAAACTCCCACAGGCTGTATGGTCTGGGGCAGTGTGGACACCTTGTTTTCTGCCTTTTCCAGAAGAGGCTGGAGGGACTACAGATCAGTCCCCTGCACTCTTGATTGCAGCTCGATCATACACTGCAGTAGAGGGGCTCCAGGTTAAATGCTTTGAAATGAAAGAGTCTTCATAGGCTTTATAAACTAGGAAAGTTTTCCACTTGCTTCCTTAGCTCCTGTCGGGTTTCCACTTTGCAGGTCACTGCTTTCAGAAAAACATGGAGCATTTGGTAACCCCATCTTAACTTGGGAGGGTGTGTGTGGGACTGTACTTTCCAAGTACTGTGAGATGGGCTGGCTGCATTGTGGTGAAATTTAGGACCTCAACAAAGTCCCATAGGGGAGTAGAGGGCTGTTGACAAGAGGTCAGAGCCTAGGAATGTCTAGGCTCTGAGGCATGGTGCATGGGGTGCTGGGCTGTCAAGCACTTGTGCTCACAGTGACATCTCACAGAGACCAGTAGATGGTGCTCTGACAACAGGAAAATACAGTTACTGTCCCTCTGAGGCTGGAAAGGGATTTTCAGATGGTCTTCAAACTGGTTTCCAATCAGAGTTATGACTAATTGCTGATTTTCCACATTTCCATTTGTGGATTCTTAATAGGATAGTGGAACTGGGGGCACTGGAAGAAGAATGCCCACCACATTCCCATATGAAGAGCATGACTGCAATATTCTGGTCATGAACTTTTTCTGAGGATCCTCCTGGATCTTGAGGGCATGGTGCCAGGAACACTTGGCCTCTGATCAAATTCAATTTGAGGATGGTAAGCATAGCATTTCCATAGGCTTAGTGTCATTGCATAGTTCTTCTCTTGATGAACAATTTAGAATTACACTACTGCTGCCCTGAAGGACAGCACGGGTTTTAGAAAGAGCCACAGATTGGAAATCAGATGTGTTAGAAGTCCATATGCTGCCTCTTATCAGATGTGGGCAAACGGTTTAACATTGCTGAAACTCTGCTGCTTTGTCTGTCAAGGGTCGTGATACATGTGTTGCCAGGCTCACCTCAGGAGTTTGGAGTAAGGGTCAGCTGTGGGGCTTATGTAAACTGAAAACTATTAAACGCATATATTATTCAGTCATTAAAATTGTAGCCACTGGCGGGGCATGATGGCTCATGCTATCACTTTGGGAGGCTGAGGCAGGTGAACTGCTTGAGCCTAGGAGTTCCATACCAGCTGGGGCAACATAGTGAGACCATCGTCTCTATAAAAAAATAAAACCAACAACTGTAGCTGCCTTGGGGGCTGGTAGAATGGGGGATTAGACAGTATGAAACCAGTATAGAAATTCATAGATCTCAAAGCTCTCAAAAGCTATGACAGCCAGGTGGGGGTGGAAGATGAGAGTCGTCTTCCTGCTAGCACTGCTGCCCTTAGGCCAAGTCTCTTCCCAAAGCCATTTATGCCATTATGTTTGCCCCTTTCGTTTTGACTGCACGAATTATCCATGAATTTGACTCCAAGAATTATCCCTTTTAACTCACTTACATAGGTGCTGAAACTCCCTAAGGTATTCTACATTATTCCTACCTATGCATTTATGATTCCTGTCTCCTTGGAAGGCAGGTATCAACTCCAGTGTGTTGTCGCATTTGCACATATAATATCTCATCTTGAGTATTCTAGGCCTCTAAAGAATTACAACAGCCACAGAGAACACAGGACATGGAATACTGGATCTCGGCTGACATCTGATAACATTGAAGACACAAGTCAGGGATCTCTGATGTTCCAAGAACTACGTCTGGGAGGTAAAAGGCTAGTGAACCCTGCTTACTCTGGGCATTAACAAAAAGGTATGCCACCCGCCAGCCTGCTGAGGCACAACCACAAAGGAAAGGGGTGAGGTGACAGCATGAGAGTGAAGTTTGTGAAGCTTTCTGGCCTGCGAGGCTATACAATTTAGTATAATCTAGTGTACATGATTTATGTCATCACCCATCTTGTTCATTATTGTATCCTCAGTGCCTAAAACAGTACCTGGCACGTGGAAGGTACTCAAAAATACTTCTCTAATGATTTGAATGAATTTTGTGCTATGGATTATGGTACTGTCTGAAAGCAGTGACATGCATTTAATAATTTTTGAAAGTCGTTTTTCTAACCCTGTGTAGTTTACAGGGATACCAAGATAGCCACTTGGAACTAGTTCTAAGTGACTGGCTGATGCGACTTCATGGTTCACAGCACCACCCTCCCTCCGTTTCACGTCTGACTAGGTATTCAGACAGAAGAGGACCCTCTGATTAAAGCAGGAGGAAGGACAGAGTAAGGCAGTAATGTGAAATCAAAATAACAATTAGAGCTGACTCACTTTGAATAGTAATTTCACCTGAAATGGACTCCCCTGAATCAAAAGGTCAAACGCCTTCCCCAAGGGCAGCAGGCTGGACATGTTGAGACAATTCCTTTGGATTTCCAGTACTCAGAATTTTCCTTCACACACACACACACAGGCGCACACACTCACATACATTCTCACACAATAGACACATGTCAGTGCTCACATGGCCTTGCCCCCACACACACATACTCGTAGGAACACACGTGCCATGCACTCAGACATCACCTCTCAACAGTTAATCTCACTTCATAGGCGTGAAGCCATACTCACCCATGGTTTCCAAACTCTGGGCTTTGGTTAGTGTCTTTGTTTCCTTCCTCAGCCCCTCCTTTCCTTCTTTCCTTCCATTGTTCAGGTTGGGAGGATGTGGAGAGGACTATGTGTTGAGCCAAGGCAGGAAAACGCAGAGGACGGTGTGCCCCAGCTAGTGTGGACATGGGAGGGGACGGCTGATCCCTGTCCTCAGTTCAAACCACCAGTCACCTGTGGGGAAGGGCTTGGCGGCTAAACAGGAGCTCTTTCCCTAGGGCTTGGAGTCCACCTTTCCCACCTCTGCAGCTCAGATACCAATTCTATTTTTTTTCCCTACATTAATGGGGTGGGTTTGAGAAAGGCAGTGGAGCTTATTTGGGAGTAAAGGATAGGGGGCTGGAGGATCCTTTTGATTATTCGCATTTCGAGAAGGGTAGTTTTAGCCCATAACTCACCATGGAGGGCCCTTCCAGGAGAGGTGGGGCAGGGCTCTCCTACAGCGGAACCAGGAGGCCGCCCCGTGAGGGCAGAAGCTCCCGCCAGGAGCCAGCACCAACAGCAGAGTGTGGAACCCCCAGAGGTCCTAGCCTTCCCCACGGGGCCTCCCAGATGCTAAGTGGGGAGATGGGGAGAGGGTGTTGCCCAATCCTTGGAAATCCTTGGCAGTGTTCGTGGAGCATGGGAGGTGCGGAGGAGCGGCGACGCTGCCATGGCGCTAGGCGCGCAAAGGCCCCGACTCCTCACTAGGGCGGCGGCGGGCCTGTGGCAACGCGCCAGGCACCGAACAGGGCACAGCACTGGGGACACCTCTCTGCAGGGACCCAAGGCGCGCGTGCGTGTGCGCCTCACGCCAGGCCCTGGCTCTCTTGCGGAGACTCCGCCGCATCGCCTGCTGCGCCTGCCTCTCTCTTCTCGGCATTACTTGGGGGAAAGGGGACTCTTCACTGGACCTTTGCAGAGGTGGCTGCTACCTTTTGGCCACGTAAATCAACAAGGCAAACCAGCCTCACCTCCCAGGAACCTCCAGCCTTCCGGCTGCGTCCCCGCCCCTCCCGCCTCACCAGCTCCTCCCCCGCTTCTCCCGGCGCTCGCGCGCGCCTCGCTGCGCCTCTGCGCTCCGCTCGCTCTCCCCTGCCTCGCCTCCCCCCTCTCCTTCCGCATCTTCTCCAGTGCTCCGCCGAGGGCGCTGCCTGGGTGGAAGAGGAAGACCCAGCCGTTAGTGAGGAAGTTCGGTCTGTGGACAAGTGTGGTGCCAGGCCGCCGCGAGGCTCGGCTGCAACCTGTTCCTCGCCCGCCGGTGCTCGCCGCCCGCCCGCTCGCGCTCCCGCCCTCTCGGCGGCGCAGCCGCGGATCGCTGTTGCATGCTGATCCGGGGAGGCGGCGGTGGCGAGCGCTCCGGGCGGATGCTGGCACTCAGGCTTCGCTGCTTTCTGGATGCTGCTCAACTTCTAGCCCAAGCGCAGGAGCTTTGAAGTCATTTGTCCCTCTTCGCTTGGATCGACTTCTTATTTTGAGATTTTGGGCATTGCGGTTTACGCAGGAACCTCAGTATCGCTCTCCCCACCTCCCTCCCTCTTTCTCCAACCTTTGGATGCGTCTCTGCTGGCAGATATAAAGACCCAAGTCTTCGCGGTGGAATTTCTTAGATGGACTCGTGGGGACTGGCGTTATAAAGCATGTCACCGTAACCCCGTCCTCGTCTTTATTTTTTTCAAAAAAGTTCTTTTGTTTTCAGTTTCCCCTCCTTCCCACCCCTTCCCCCAACCAATAAATCACCAAACTGTTACCTAGCGGGCCGGTGCCTGCCTCTCTCCCTGAACTAGGTGGTGCGTCTGCCAGAAGAGGAGCTATGTTTGAAGAGCAGCCTACTCCACCCCTCTCCTCTCTGGTCCCTGAACACCACCACACACTGGCATTTTGAAAAAAATATTTTCCTCCAGGAACTGAGCACCCCCAAGCCCTACCCCCCGTTTTTTTTTTTTTTTTTTTTTTCCTTCTTGAGGAATGGAGCTTCGCAGAGGTTGCGTTTAGATTCAACAGTTCACAGCGGCGGGCTGCTGCTGCCGCCTCTCCGAAGAGCTCGCGGAGCTCCCCAGAGGTGGTGGTCCCGGTGCCTGTCTGGATGCGGCTCTGAGTCTCCGTGTGTCTTTCTGCTTGTTGCTGTGTGCGGGTGTTCGGCCGCGATCACCTTTGTGTGTCTTCTGTCTGTTTAAACTTCAGGATGGCTCGCTTCGGGGAGGCGGTGGTCGCCAGGCCGGGGTCCGGCGATGGAGACTCGGACCAGAGCAGGAACCGGCAAGGAACCCCCGTGCCGGCCTCGGGGCAGGCGGCCACCTACAAGCAGACGAAAGCGCAGAGGGCGCGGACTATGGCTTTGTACAACCCCATTCCCGTCCGGCAGAACTGTTTCACCGTCAACAGATCCCTGTTCATCTTCGGAGAAGAGAACATTGTCAGGAAATATGCCAAGAAGCTCATCGATTGGCCATATCCTTTCTTGCCCACCATAACTCCCTCTCTCCCTTTGCATTTCTTTGGGTGAAGGGGGGTACCTAGCATGGAATGTATCCCCCCACCCCCTTCCTGGTGCCAATTTGCCCCTTTGCTGAAGCGCACTCTTCGGTGCATCTAAGGGGCAAGCTTGGTGCTGTGGAGACTGGTTTGGGCACTAGTGTTTTTCAAGGTAAGACTTTTGGTTTTTTATTTTTCCTATGTGGAAATCTCTAGTGTCCCTGGGTGCGTCCCTTTCTGGGCTGGGCTTTGTCTGATTCCCAGCCTTCTCCCCACCCCTACTCCACATGCCGCCCTCTACATAGATTGGGTTGCCCCAATGCTTCCTTTCATAATCAATTCTCATTTTCCTTTCTTTAAGCCAGCCACTCTGCCCATATCCCCACCAGCCAGGAGACACTGCACTGTCTTCCTGTATGGAAGTCAAGGCTCCATGAGGAGATTTATCAGTTCAGAACCTCCCAGGGCCAAAACCTTGTATACAGATAGACAGATGAATAAATAAAACAGGCTTTTGGCTGGGGACTCAGCTAACTCTGGGGACTTAAGTTTAAGTTCCACTGAAAGTGGCATGAATGAGTGTCTGTCAGGGGAGGTGATCTCTGTTGCCACAGCTCAAACAGCTCAAACTTGGAGTTCTCCTCTCAGCCAAGGAGGAGCAGCTCATTAGGCCCGTCCTTTCCTTGGTCCTTGGTTGGGTACTCTTGCTTCTTAGTGCTTGACCCAGCTGGTTGCTCTCCCAGTGTCCAGGATCCAGGTGGATCTCCTGGGCCTGAATTCATCCGCTGAGGCCAGAGGTGCGCATGCAGTCTCTCTCTCCGTAGCTCCAAAGGAACTGCTCTCTCCAAAGGAACTGCTCTCCCCAAAGCTCTGGTGGGGGCCATCTGTGATGGTGGTGGTGTCAGAGTGAACAGACATGGAAGGAGCTTCTTTGCAGGTTTAATCAAGTGCACCAAATGCAGGCTGCTGATTAGGCAGCTGGCTGCCTTGTTCTTCACTAAGGATTGGACGCCTGGCAAGGCCATTAGGAATTGGGGGTGATGAGGTAGTAAAGGGGATTAGTGGGAGGCAAGCTAGTGGTCTGGTGTTAAATATGGAGATGGGGTTGGACACATGGGACTTTGGGAGGGAGATTTGGGAGGGCTGCACCTGCAAAGAAGGCCCCCTTTTTTCTCCCCTATTCTCCCTCTTTCCCACCCCCACCATCCAGGTGTGCAGCAGTGAGGCAGCTGGAGCTGACTTGGGTCTCTAGTATTAGCCAGACACTCGGCTCACTTCCCACAGGGCCTGGGCATCTCCCTACTCCCCCAACCCCAGCCTCTGGCCTTCCCCTCCTTCTCTAGTTCCCTGCCTCAGCAGCTCCATGATTGGCTGGCGCGTGGTGCTTCTAGGCAGCACCCCTCATTAGAAACGAAGGAGCATCTCTAAGCAGATATTCTTCCTGCTGCTGTTCGCATCCTCCCACAGCCACCCCTGGCTGGGCTTCTCCCTCTCTCCTCCTCTCTGCACCCCTCTCCCCTGTTCCACTCCCACAGAGTGATCCTGGGCCATCTATTGCCTGAGTTAAACGTATCTAGCTAGGGAGAAGGTTTCTGGCGGGGGAGGGGTCGGGTCCCTGCAGTCACGCCTGCCGGTGCGCTGCACAAAGCGGACAGATCTCATTGTGTTGTGTGCTGCGGCTGCAAATATTCCTCTAGGCAGTCTACGGATTTCCCAGCTGGGCCCTGCTTTCTCACTTGGCTTCTACAGTTCTCTAAATCTTCCTATCCACCAGGTGCTGCTTTGCTGTGCCCCTGTCTTAGGGACGTGTTTACTCAGGCGCCCTCCCGTTTCTTTGCGGTAGACAAAGCCGCCCAACCGCCTCGCGGGTGGCAAAGTGTGCCAGCAGCCATCGTTGGCACCTCGGACAGCGCCGCTGAAACTCCCGGTGGCCCGGGGCTCCCCAGTTATCTGGGTTCAGCACCTCGAGGTACTTCCGGCTGGGCCCAGGCTTGGGGCTGAGAAACCAGGCACGTTTCCTACACCACGCGGTCATCTTTTTTCACGTTTTCTCTTCCGCTGCAAAGACACCGCCTTTCCACCAGGCGTTGCGAGCGCGCAAGGTGCGGCTGTGAGTTTTACTCCTCCCTTTCCTTGTCTTTGGCCAAAATGGACCAAAGAGAGTCAAACGGGAGACTCTCAGACTCTCGAGGGAGTTGATTTCAGCATCATGCTCAGTGTCTTGGCCCCAAGCCCTGTCCCAATGGTCTCTTCTGTCTGCATAGTTGGCAATTTCACAGTGGTTCTACAGCATGTAGGCTGTGGTAACAGTGTTCAGAGAACATCTGCTAAGGTGTTTAGTGGAGCCCTGTTGGAAAATGTAAAATATACCATGTACAATGTAGTTGACTAATATATTCCTTCTGGTGGTGACCACATGGAAACATTGGGCTTCCGTGGGAAACGCACCTAAATTCCTAGTCTCACCTTCCTTTCCTTTCTAAACATCCAACTTCCCAAATAATCTTGCTTTGTCTTACTGGGAGTCAGTCTGGGTAGTGGTTGCCCATAAAGTTTTGGAGCTAGGCTGCCTGGGTTCAAATCGTATTTCCTTCACCAGCTCTGTGACCTTGAAAAGTTATTTCATTACTCTGTGACTCAGTCTTCTTATCTGTTAAATGAAGATAATAATAATACTGGGAGAATTAAATGAGTTAATATATATCACGTGCCTAAAGCATTATCTATTTACCCAGTAAACACTAGTTGTTGTTATTAATGATGTCTTTCAGAAATTTCAGCATGCTTGAAGTGGGGAGGGGTCTTAGTTCAGGTGAAGTCTTCTAGATTCTTGCCTCTCAGAGCGCGGAACTGCATCCACATCACCTGGGAACTTGCTAAAAATTCAGAATCCTCCACTTCAATCCTGCTGAATCAGAATCTGCATTGTAATAAGATCCCTGTGTGATTAATATGCTCATTAAAGTTTAGGAAGTACTTCTTTGCTCTTTGTAAGTGCCAGAGTTTTTAAAAATTTTTTTAAGAGGGGAAGGTTGTTCAGTTGTTCAGAAAGCATGTCAAGACCTGCTTTCATATTGACATATACACATTTAGCATGCTTGAGGATTTTGTTTGTATTACAACACCTTTTGGGATTTACATTTTCATTGCCTGCAGAAAGTCGCTGTAGGACAAGGGGTATAATGTACACTTCTATGTGCCACATTAGTGGTCTCATCGTGCTGTGCGTTACTGGTCTTTAATCATGTTTGTCTGAAAAGATTGGTTAAATAAAAGGAGTGGTTTAATTTATGCTTCTAGGATCACCCTGACTTGGAGGGGGAGGGTAACCTTATCCAGTTATTAATAGGGGAGGTCTAGTTCTTATGGGAAGAAATGCTCAAGATAACCCAGATTTGGCATGAAAGATGGTGGCAAGTCAACAGCCTACTCTGAATGTGTTTCATTTTTCTTGGAAGCTACATCTGCATAGGGAGATAATTTTATTTTCTTATGGCACTTTCCTCTGCAGTGGATACCATACTCTTTTTAAAAATGCTAATGTGGTTTAAAATGTGATGTTACATTCTATATGATTCCTCCTTTTCTTTTTTGCTCATCTAATAGATCTTCTCTGGCAGTGGGCTGTTCTGGGTGCCCTTCCATGTTCACTGTGCTTCACGCTTACCAGCTCTCACTCTTTCATGCCCAGGGCCAGTTACCCTGTGGGCATACAGCACCTCTCATGTGGTTTGCAGGATGCCCCTCACTTGTTTGAACTTTTCCAGGTCACGGGTATGAAGGGAAGACGTAATGTGTCTGGCTTGGAGACTCTATGCCAGAGTTGGGCAATAGGATATGCCCCCCACACCTCCATCACCTTGGTTGTCTCAGCAGGGGAGCACATGTTTTGTGTGGAAATGAATATGACTTACAGTGGGAAGGTCAAATATGTTTGCAGCCCTGAGATATTGAAGTTCATCACAATGAACCTGTGGACATTCATCCATGATTTCTTATTGTAGAGAATTTCATTGTATCCCCAAAGCACTCTGGCTATAGATCAGAGGTTGTATGCTTTATTTTTATGAGTCTCCCATTATAAAATGTCCATTTATTTTGGAGGATTTTGGTGAGGATTACCAAAAGTTTTAGTTCTTTTTTTTTTTTTTTTTTTTTTTGAAACGGAGTTTCTCACTGTTGCCCAGGCTGGAGTGCAGTGGTGCCGTCTCGGCTCACTGCAAGCTCCGCCTCCTGGGTTTACTTTCGACATTCTCCTGCCTCAGCCTCCTGAGTAGCTGGCACTACAGGCGCCCGCCACCACGCCCAGCTATTTTTTTTGTATTTTTAGTAGAGATGGGGTTTCACTGTGTTGACCAGGATGGTCTTGAGTTTTAGTTCTTAAATTTCCCATTTTGGTATCTTCTTTTTTTCTGCTTTTGTTGTCTATAAATATACAGCACATTGCAGGATAGTAGACTGAGGTCCTGGTAAGAATTTCAGGTTTGATGTAATTCTAGTGAATCATGAGGCAAGATGCCTTGATTAGGGAAGACGATGGCAGCTAACAAGGATGAAATCTGTAATTATATCCTATGATCAGATAATGCAGAAAGACTTCATATCTTCTGTGTACCTGTGCACAGATGCAGATGTTGAAACAGATAGTGACTGCAGCTGCTACTGGAGCTGTAGGAGAAAGGTCTTCATTTTCTGAGCATCCCAGGACAATCTCTGAATTGCCTGTTGGCTTTGCTTTTGATATGAAGTGTGGGTAATGTTTCATCTGGAAACCAGGCCATGACTTGTTGTGGGGACCATTTGTAATTGGGATGCAGCCTGGAAAATGAGTTGGAGTGAAGGAGTTTGACAGAAATGAAATGACTTAGGATAGGGACAAAAATATCCTCAATGTGATAGTTTTGTCTGTTGGTTTGCATGTCATTATTTCTCCACTTCCCTCCACTTGCTGTTTCTGCAATAGGCGCAATGCATGC